TGTTTGATGTTTATGGTGTTCATGTTCAAGATTTAAGGATACATATACATTCATGCTCATGAACGATGCTTGTCAAAATGAGACAACAGCCCTCAGGAAAAAACACAAAAAACTAAAATTACACTAATGATAATCAATGTAGTGCTCCTCAGTGGCGATCAATGTAGGGCTGCTCAACTGTTCGATTCCCAGCCTGGGGTCTTTCTGCATGGGGTTTGCATGTTCTCCCTGAGCATGCATGGGTTCTCTCGGTGAACTCCGGCTTCCTGCCAAAAACATGGCTGTTAGGTTAATTGGCTTCTCTAAATTCTCCTTAGGAGTGAGTGTGTGGTTGAATGGTTGTTTGTCCTGTTTGTCTCTGTGTTGCCCTGCGATGGACTGGTGACCTGTCCAGGGTGGACCCTGTTTCTCGTCCGTAGACAGCTAGATATAACCACCAGCATCCCCGGCAATCTCACTTGGGATAAAGAGTAATCATCAGTGTATTTTAAGACCCCAGCACTCTATAAAACTCCAATCCTATAAAGATGGGTTATATGTGTAAGGTAGATGAGTGCAGATGAAAAAATATTGTACTTTTCTTAAACTCCAAGAAGTGGGCTGTGCCGACACCTCCTGGGAGGTAAAGGATTGTGGGCAACCATATGCCAGCAAAGCAGTGTATAGAAACATTGGTAGGTCCCTTCCTAAAGAAACTATCAATGGAAAGCCTCCTGTTTACTTTTTCTATCTCCTTCCTACCACACTTCCATTTTGGGTTAAGTCTTTACCAATTTCCACTATTTAGGTTGCTCATCCAAGCGTACGCTGATTCACAGCATTAAAGCCTTTTGCCAGGACCTGAACTTCGAAGAGCTTCTTTAGTTCATGTCTTTGCCTGCTTCTATCTCCTTGAACCCCAGTCGGCCTCGGCAGATGGCCGCTCACACTGAGTCTGGTTCTGCTTGAGGTTCCTTCCAATTAAAATAAGTTTTCCTCACCACTGTCGCTACATGCATACTCAGTGTGACGGATTGCAGAGAGTGAATGAGTCCTCGCAATCAGCTGGTTTTCCTCAGACAGAAATATTTTGAGTAATATGATTATGTTAGCTGTATAAATAAATTGAATATTTTCTAATTGCAGCTTTTCTCTGTCTGTAGTAACATTTGTGAAGATTCTCAGTCATCCAGGTCATGGTCAAGCTTGAAAAAGTTAAGTCTGGGCAACTGGATGATAAAAAGTCTACTAAAAAAAAAACTTAATTTCCAGTTGCCTACACTGTCAACTTTTTCAAGCTTCTCTTGTGAGTCCCTCTAGGGTGAAATTATATTTCTTAGAATGTAAATATTACATAAAACAACTAAAAGTTTTTAATAAAAAAATGCCAGTTAACTGAAAAGTATCTCAGTGTTTTATGTAGGGAATGTACTCAATAGTCTGTTGGGGCTCTGTTTGCTTAAATAACTGCATCAATGCAGTGTGGCATGGAGCCAATCAGTTGGTGGTTCTGCTGAGGTGTAATGAATGGAATCCTAGGTTGGTTTGGTAAACATTTTCAGGTCATCTGTGTGGCTGGATCTTGTCTCTTTACCTTGACAGAACTCAGTTGTTTCTCAATGGATTCCTGGTGGGGACAGTTTTTCAACCAATCAAGAGTAAAAACATGATCATTAAATATTCTCTTGGTACCTTTGGCAGTGTGGGTAGGTGCCAAATCTTACTGGAAACTCAGCAAATATATTTCAATCTTAAAAACTCACACGAAGAGAAAAGACAATTAGGAGAAATTTATTGATACAATTACTTTGTCTTTGGTGCTCAGACCTCTGCAGGAAACATAGTGCTTAGTTTTGATAGATATGCATGAACAGGAGCAAAGAATAGGGCTGTTTCCCCCCAGGCCTGACACTTCTGGTGGAGTGGAGATAGATGAAGCTGGTCAGTCTGTAGACTGCAGGTTAGTGAGACGGTCTGCTGAGCTTTATGGGGAGATCCAGTGATTGCATGAGCTGATACTAGAGCTTCACTCAAGGACCTGGAAGATGGAAGTCCAGTTTGAATAACACAGGTTGAGAGAACCGTCCATGATGAGCAAGCATGAAGCGAAAGTGGAGAGGAAAAACTCCCCATTGGGAAGAAACCTCTGGCAGAACCAGGCTCAACATGCTGGTCTTCTGTCGGACTGGTTGAGATGAGACAGGGAACGCAGTGAGAATCCGGAAGGAATGACACTCTGATGAAGCTTTAGCTACGAAGGTGGAGGAGGGGCTGGAGGTGGGTTGAATTGGTGTCATCTGAATGAAGTCACACAGCGCATCCACGGCCTGCGCACAGACGCAGACAAGTGCGTATCGGAGGCCTTGTAAGATGAACTTTGGATGCAGATTGGCTTTTGTGGAGGTGTGGTTCAAAGATAATTGGCTGTGTTAATTAAACATTAAAATAAATTCTAGATGAGTGCTTTGACTTTGAGCTTGATAAAGGTGGACCAACACCAGCAAATATCATGGCTCATGCCATAATCATTCAGATGTCATTACATCAGTCAGAAAATGATTTGTGTACCTTTATAATTGTGTCCAAATCCATTATTATGGTGACCAAATTTCTAAACAAAAACAATCTGAAAACACACATAAATAGGGGAAAAAGAAACAACAGACTAAAGTCAAATCAGAAGTGCCATGACTTTAAAATACTGCAAGAAAAAATATTGAGCTATGGTAAAAAAAAAAAAAAAAGTTAGTTATAGATAAAAGATCAAGTGGAAACAGATTTGGGAATCAGCATGTCCATATCTGGAGCCGTGGGTGAAATTTTGATGTCCGTCCTAAGAGACATGCTGGAAACAGGAAATGTAAATGCTGTAAAAAAAAAAAAAAAGCCTATGATCATTATGAAATTAAAACATAAATGTGTGAAATCAGTTCTGAAATGCATGAAAAGCAATTGTTGTGAAAATAAATAATAATGGGATGTGGGTGAGTGGAAAGTCTAGCTGCAGTCTTCTGAACAAGTTGAGGGTGACTCAAGGATGACTGAACAACACGAGCTCTTTATTTTTTTATTCTGAAACTGACAAAACATGCTCAAATCCTGGTCCTACTGACCTATGCTGAATGTCTCTCCCCTCTCTTGTAACCCTCTTTCCAGTCTATATATATTCAAAAAAATAAAAAAACAATAAAGATGACTAGAGGCTAAAAATAACCCTAAAAAAAGGCTTAAACATTTCATCCTTTGTGTAATGATTCGATATGTGACTTTTATTTTCAGATATTGGTTAAAGAATATATTAAACATCATAATATTCAATTTCATATGAGCTTAGATTCTAAAACTGCATTTAAATTGGGCAGTTCTCTGGCTGCAGGTGGGATTGGCTTCATTTAAAGTTGGGCCAACAGCCAGTCAAGTTCAGGAAGTGGAAGAAATAGTTGGACAGGAAACATGGTCGAGACAGAAATTATTCTAACTGAATGCATTGGCAAGAATATATGGTTTATATTACACTACAGCACGATTTGATCACAAATAATTTGACAAATCATGCCCACTGAGGTAATACTCTGCCCCAGTTTACACACAGATTTTTTAGAGATGCTTGAAGCATTTTCCCATTTGACCTAAACGTTTTTTGTTGTTTTTGCTTTTTTTGCAGCTGAACAAAATACATCAAGCCATTTAACCCTTTATAGGGAACGCAATGAAATACTTTGAAAATCAACATTTCAAGCCAATAGTGTTATTGGAATCCAAGACCTTATTACCTTTGTAACATTCAAAAAATATGGATATTTTAATGGCAAAGATTTATGTCAATGTAATGACAAGAAACACCAACTTCTCCAATATATTAAGAAAAATAACAAATTTGCCCCTATAAGAAATTCATGAAAAACACTCTGAGAGCAAAAGAAACACTTATTTTTGGTACACTTAACCTTAGAGTGATTAATGCTGATACTGGCACTTACATTTTTTGGTTTATGAATCTTAAAATAATGGTTAACTAGACTTTTTAACTTTTTTCTTAACCTGATAACTTTTTCAACTTGATTTAACCTAACATTCATGTTTTAGGACTGTGGGAGAAAGTCAGAGTACCCAGAGAGAACCAATGCATGCACTGGGAGAACATGCAAACTCCATGCAGAGAGACCCCAGGCAAGGAATCAAACCTAAACCTTCTTGCTGCAAGGCAGCAGTACTACCCACTGCACCACAGAGCATTACACTTTTATCTTTTTTTCCTTAACTCCATACATTTCTTTTTCAACTTAATTTCCAGTAGGTGATATATCATTCAAAGGCTCATCTAATTGGTCAAATGCAAAAATAAGATGTAGAGCCATGTAGCAGTATCTTTGCTGAATGGCTGGATATATATCTTGTGCTGCTAGACCTCACTGAGGGACGGGGGGACTCCATATCTAAGGGGTATGTAAGTGATCAAAAACGCTAACTTGCCCTATAAAGGGTTAAATAATAAACTTAATTTCAGAATATGCATAAAACTGGATGTTAAATAGTTAAAAACAAACCAACAAACCAAAATCTGTTTTCTATATGCCATACATCACCAGAGGCATTGGCTTTTTTATCAAAGCTTTTTGGGGAAGGGGGGCTATTTTTTTATTCGATACCGATATGCCCCAAACTGGCAAAACGATTAGAAAAACTGAAAGCATATTACTATGATATAGCTTTAGGTTTACTGACTCACAGATGTCTTTAGACTAACATATCGGATAGAGAATATTTGCTGTGATGGATCCCCTCTTTGCGTGATTTAATAAGCAACTAGATTTTTTTTTCCGTCTACATCTGAAGAATCTCACATTCTCCACTCTTCTCCCCATGTGAGTTCCCACTAATCTCGGTCCAAATGTGTGGTGGAGCAGTGATCACTGCTGATCGCATGCAGCTTCTGCAGGTGTCAGTATGACTGTAGCCAGTAGGAGGGACTTGATGCTCCAACTTCTCGTTTTGCGTCTCCCAGCTCTCCAGCCAGTCGTCCTGGTCCTGCTCAGGGAGAGAAGCGACGACAGGCATCGGCAGCGCCGCATTACGCTGGAACACAATGAATCTCAGGCTGCCTAAACCACTGGAAGCTTTTTCTATTGCGTTTTTCTTTCTTTGACTCGCGTTTCTCACCTATATTTTTGTTTTATTTGTTTTTGTTGCATCTTTCTCCCCCTCCTCCCTTTTTTTTTCTCCCACCCAGCAGCCTCTGACGCGCAAGGACACTACAGCATCCATCCACGGCAGGAACGCTCACACAGAGCATCCTCTGTACAGGCGCACCAGCCGTCCTCCCTCCTTCCTTTCCACCTTCCTTCTTCCCACTCTCCTCCTCTCCTCTCTTTTTTTTAGGGGGCTCTTTTTTCTGCTGGAATCCAAAGGACATCGGGAACCCTGCTATTTACCCCCCTCCACCCACACGCACACCCACTTTTTGCCCCGGAGACATGGATCTATGGTTTCATTCGATCCGGATTTGCTGGTGGAGGGTTTTGTTTCTGATGAGTGTTTTCCAGGACTATCTAAGCTCCATGCTGGACTGCCCGCCGACCTGCAGCTGCTCTCAAACGGAGATCTTTTGCAATAAGTCCGACAATGGCAGGTTTTTCCCGTTGCTCGCCCTGCAAGACACTGGGAGCAATGGGACCAGCGTGGATATTGCGGACTTATTCAAAAACATCACCTCCATGTAAGTAGCTGCAGTTGATGCTGCGCGTTTCTGAATCATTAATTGATTTCCCCCCCACCCCCCTTTCTGTTGATCTCTTCTTATGGCTCTGACTTGAATGCATATGCGATTATTTAGACTTTTTCCTGTTTCTAGCAGCTCCTAAGTAGCCTTTTTATGATGTACCCCATTTATTAGTCGTGAATGAAGATAAAAAAATCTCCAAACAGGTGAAATTAACATTAAAACATGTGAAGTGAGTGAGATATTTAGAAGTGTGCGTTCACATAAAGTTACATCTCCGCAGCAGGCCTGCACATCCAAGATGCGGGGGGGTGGGGGTGTTGCAGAGAGCCTCGCATCACTTGATTGCCACTTCATCCCCTGTAACCTGTTCCGCTCCTACTGACTGGGGCCCCCAAAACACAGACACATAAATGGTGCAGTGGGGTCCAGCAGCTTCATCTCAGCAGCCTTACATGAAAACTTTATCATCAGGTCTGGATCCCTGCGGTGGGAGATTGCTGATCACTTGTGGCTCTCCGATTTATGAGCAGCGATGATGACGGCAGACTATCAAACCACCCGCACACCCACAGAAGGAGCTACATTTTTATTCTACATCCTCCCCCTCACTCCTGTTTTTTTTTTTTCCTTTTCCTTTTCGCTGGCATCGATCCCTCCCTCCCTACATCAAAGCTTTCTTTCTTGAAAAGTCAGATGAAGAAGGAAGGGAGAGAAAAAACACATAACAGGCCTAAAATAAAGATCCCTGGTGTCGGTGATGCTGATTTGCATAGAAAGCAAACATTTCAGGTTAACGCATCGAATTCCCCGCAAAAGAGTTTTTTCATCCCATCAGTGTGCAGTTTTTTTTTAATCCATATAAGTTACTGTGCGCCATGGTTCACCGCCTCCCCGGGCCACTAGAGGGTAGCCTGCTCCCCCTTATTTGCTCTCCCGCCACAACACAGGAGTCATTGACGTGACGGTGTTATCAGGGGAGATTGGCCATGGTTTGTTTGCCAGAACAAGCGCAGCATTTTCTTTTTATTACAGCAGGCCGCATTAAGTAAAAGGTGGAACAGTCAGAGGTAATCACTGTTAGTGATTAGTGTGACCGCAGGATGACCCACGCATGCAGATCAACTCATTGCCAAACCTGCTCAAATGGCTCATTTATTCATTTCTTTCTCTTCCACCTACTGGATCCCAAAAAGCTTCTGGATATTCACTTTGAAATTGCTCATACAATGCAAAAAACATTTTTTTTTTATTTTTGCTGATATTAAATATTAGACATGGGAATTCCTTTAATCTTGATCAAGCATATTGTCTCTGCCTGGTTTTGATGTTATATTTACTGGTACATTTAAAGTAAAGCACCTCAGTGTTAATATATGTGGGACCAGTGTTACTGTAATTTTTGAAGATGCACCATTTGATTTAAATTGAGTTTTAGCTGGTTTAAAAACATCACTCTCTGTGAGAGCTCTTTTGTTTGTGTTTTAATGTATTTGGACAAACATTTATCCATAACTTTGCTAAAACTGAGAAATGCAAGTCATATAAATAAACCATAAATTATAAAAATACATGATCAACATTTTCTGTAAAATGTATGAAAAATGCTATTTAACAACCAAACATTTACTGTAATCCCTCTTAAACTGCAGAAAATATCCGATCATCTTTTCATGACTTGTTACTCATCATTTTAAAGAAGGTTGGCCTAATTAAGCCTCAGACGTTTAACTGGATGTGCTCCTATGCGCAGTGAAGAGAGTGAGGACTTTTAGGAAGAGGGAACTAGCAGAGTTTTAAGGATATCTTTAAAATGTTTCCCTATTTCTGCTGCATGGAGTCTTATGGTGAAAAACATGAAAAACATCCCCTGGTCTGGTTGTCCTATAGGAGGTTCATTTTGTAAGCAGACTACAAGATGCTGCAGTCTTTAAAACCCTAACATTTCAACATACAGTTGGCTCTTGTTTTTTTTATTGAAGTAAAAGTTTATTTAGAGATAGTCAGCACAAGTCTATTTAACACCAGGGTTGCAAGAAGAAACTATTTTCTCTCTAAGAAAAATATAAAGATTAGATTAGAATTTACCATAGAGCGTGTAGAATTACATCCTCTATCCTATTAGCAATAGGGGATGAGGATGAATTACCTAAAAACCAGAAAAGAACATGTTTGAAAAAAAACCCATACAGAGGGCCTCAAACCAACCCTAAAGAATGAAACTTGAAGCGCTGTGGTTTGGGAATGTTCTGTTGCAATAGGACCTTAGTCAGCTCCCTATAAAAAATCCAGCATAAATTCTTTATTTTGTCGGTAGGAATCTGCTTGACAACAATCCAAAGCAAGACTGTAAAAGCATGTTATAAATGGTTCAGGCTTTATGCTGGTGAAGATTCTCAGTCATCCAGGTCATAGCCATTCCAAAAAAGTTAAAAATAACAATTCACTGGACGTTGTTTCCAAGTTTGAAGACGTTTTGCGATTCCCATCCAGGAAGCTTTTTCAATTCAAAAGACTTCAATTCTGTATAGAGCCTCGAACTCGATGCTATTCAAGACATTTTGAATTGAAAAAGTTCCTGGATTGGAAGCGAAACGTCTTCAAACTTGGAAACAAAGTCCCAGACAAAGTAGATTGTTATTTTTGTTTACTTTTTTGGAATTCAAGCTTTAGCAACACTGGACCATATAACATAAGAATGACCCCAGATATACTAGCAACTCCACCAAGCCTGACTGAGAATGAAATATTAGCTGTGGGGTGAGTGAAACGAAGATGTTCATTTTGTAAAGAAGTTTTGGTGTGACTTTAAATGGACTGGACATGCAAAGATCCCATCAAGTATCTCAGAGCTCTAAGTCAGGAAGGCCAAAATAAAATAGAAAATGCTAGTTAAAAACTTTATTTAGTTGATCCCTGATAAAGTAGCAGCTTAAATACATAATTATTTGACAAAAATATAGTTTAAAATATATCCAAATGAAATGCAAAAAAATTCTGACCTCAGTTATTTAGTAAAAACATAATCATGGTCTTATCAAAGTATATATATTCCAAATAATACAAAGACACCGTGTTTTTACTTGTGTATACCTTTTTTAATAAGCCCAAAGTCGCAACCTGACCACCTTGTTTACCTTCCAGAAAACCCATTGCAACTGACCAAGGACTAATTGTGCATTCCTGGCCTGCAAGCTCTGCTTTTTTTCCTTGGTTCTTAGCTGTTCAGTATGGACAGCAACATCCGCCCAACACCACCACCAGCAGCTCAATGACAGCGCATCAGAGACCGCACCACCCAATGTCACAGAATCTAATACATCTGAACTGGTGAAACAACTATTAGCATTTAGCAAACAAAACTAGATTAGCTTACATTTCATTTTGACTTAATTTATGTTTTTATTTCTTGGGAGAAATTGTGTAAGTTAAACAGCTACATATTGTTAAATATCAGCAAATCATTAAAATTTTGAAAAAATAAAGTATCTTTGAATTTAAATTATTTTGTTCATTTAACAAGTACAAGTTAGTTAGAATTTACCTAAATTGGGTAAAAATATTTACATTCAATCTAGCTTATATCGCATTAGAAATATAAGGAAACTGAAATAGAATAAAACTGGGGATATCCTTCATTAATATCTGCAGATTAATACATGCCCTGATCTTTCTGTTTCTTCTTATTTGATTCCTCTTGCAAAGGATCAAACTTCCTAGGGCTGCAATTGATTTCAAAGTGATTATTATTAAACTGATATTGTAGCAGATTAGCAGATAACAAACTGTTAGAAACTATCCAGTAAAGCTAGTGTAACAATTTGCAAATATTTCATATAAATGTTAATCATTATGTAATAAAATAAAAAAAAAGCTTAATAAATGTGCAAAGAAACCTAAAAACTATTTTGTTCCTCTAAGCAGGTAAAGGTAGAAGTTGGAAGAAAATTAAGGAAAACGTGCTCAAGAAAAGTACCATGACTTTCCAGCCTTGTATTTGTTCAAATCTGGTTTAAAAGCTAAAAGAAACGTTGTTAAAGAAATTAGCCAAATTCAAAAGTATTTTTAACTTTGTCAAAAGACTTACCTTGATGAAAAAAAAAAAATAATACATATCAGTCTATATGGTTTGTAATTGTACTTTTACAAGAAAAAAAGAATCGGTTTGTAATTAAGGAGTTGAAAATTAACATCTTAAAATCTATTTGAAACTGCAAAAGTGACATTTTAATTTCCTCTCAGAATGATAACAAAATGTGCTGTTCATTGCAAGCTAAGCATTGCTCTTAACATTAAATTTACAACTAATGAAATTAAAATATATGAATGGTTAACATACGATACCCTATGAAATTCATTTTCACACTGCATGTCTTACCTGGGGCTGCTCAAAGTGATGCAAAATCACCTATTACATCTTTAATAATTATTGCAACAAAGCAATTTCATGCTTGATTCTAATGTGTTAGTGCCCAGATAGCCACACTTTTTAAAAAGGATAACTGGTATCCATAGTAATATGAAGCAGTCAGAGACTGAGCCCACATACACCACGAGTGGTCCTTGATCCTCTCTCTTTTAAGTAGGAAGATCCATGTGCTCTGCCAACAAGAACACCTTTTATCCCTTTTTGTTAAAGAGACCTAAGCAGATTGGGCACATTTATGTAGACCGAAAGCTGCAGCAAAGACCAATAGTAAGAAGAGGGGTGAGAAAGTGGGGGGTAGTGGCCAGCCAAAGAAAACTGCCAAGTCCAGATAATAGTTTTCCAGTTCTCTCACATTAGAGATTCATCACAAGAAGCATCGCTGCATGAAGCGGATAAGATAAGGCCTTGCTGTGATACTAGAGAAGGGGAAAATGGCTTTCTGAAAGTAGTAGAGGCATTTTACTGGTTTGAGAAAAAAATTCCCTGAGCCCAGCACAGGAATCCAGTCTACATTTTTAGCTCTGGAGAATATATATATATATA